CCATGCAGCAGACCTGTGGATCCTCCCTCCTGCTGTCTGCCATCACTGTTATTGCTCATTTAAATCATAGCGGCAATAAATAAATAAATGTAATTCTCCTGAATCCACCAAACGCCGATTTATTCAAGCCACTAATTTTGTTTTTCAACGCAAGTAACTTTTTACATAGACATTATATGCCACACAGAGATTATGTCCTAATGGATTTATATTTTTATTTTCTTTTATTTTCTTAATTTAATTTGTTTTTGTGTCTTAAATTGTCGTTTGAATGTGTTTTAGTGTGAAAAAAATAACCCTGGTTGAATCTAAGAAAGTAGTCTCCTCTTTTTCATGCAAAACAGACCGAAAGTTTAGATTTTTTTATTTTTTTAAGTGAGAATTTGAGTTTGCAATGGAGAATTTCAGTGACTAAAATAATCTGAGACTATTATCTGAGGCCTTTTGGCTGCTGCCGCTGTGCTGACCCTGTCATAGTGGTTCATGTTATATCTGGCAATCAATCCGCATTGTTCATATGTGAGGATATTCCTCAGAAAGATAAACGTGTTTGTTATAATAAGTGTCCATGAACACATTATATTATTTGGACTTAATTTAATTACAAAATAACAAAAAACCTAATTTATTTTCACGACGCGTCTTTTAATGTGAACTCACATTAAAACCAGTACAAGCATCCACTGGCTGTACTGGTGCTGACTGTACCAGGGGGCGCTACTGCTGTGGCACCTGGTCTCATTAAAGAGTTGTTTAAATGTGGTTGTGTAAACGGCTGAGCTGCAGGAAAATAACGTTTTAGATTTAAAATAAATAAATAAAAAATAGTCAAATGTAAGAGCTCATTTTAAAATATTTTACAAAACAAATGTTAATACATTCTGTAATGACTTAAAATCTGAATAATTTAATTATTATATTTTTTAATTTAAACGTGGCAAATACTAATTGTATTAATATACAGCTATAATTTTATGTGAATTAATCTATTAATAAAACCGTGTTAGCTTTAATTAATCGGTGAACTACAAGTGGCAGAAAATCACACTAAAATACCCGCACAGCTGTGGCCTGTTACTAAATATTAATGCCCTAATAAACTCCGGAACTATTAATAACTGATTAAAACAAATAGGACTAAAAAAAGATTGCATTAACTTCTGTGAACGTGTAATCGGTGCAGCCGTCGTTTCATTTATAGTAATGTTCCTCACACAGGTCCGCTGCAGAGGCCTTATAAAAACCTGTGGTATTCGGATTATCAGCCGCATGGGATAAAGCAATAAATGGGCCAGTGGGGTCCTGAATAGGTGCAGTGGCGTGAAGGGGAGTAATTACAGCTTCATATTAATTGTGTTTTTTTTCTTCTTCTTTCTCTTTCTGAGCGCACATAGACATACACACAACACACAACACACACATACACACTGAAGCGAAGCGGTGGTGACATCTAGGAGGGCCAAGTCTTTGTGCCGAACACTTCAAGTTTCAAAAACAAGGCCAATTGAAGCGGCGGAGCTCAAAGCCGGCACCATTGTAGGCGAACACATTGAGTTTTGATTGGGGACAATGGTGTTTCTCAAATTTCTAGCAAAAAGAAAGCCATACTCCATCTGTGATCTCAATGAGCGCCTATTCATGAGCTTCCTTCTTTTCTGCGCCATTCGTTGGTGGAGAAAAGGAGGCAGATGTGGAGGGATAGAGCAGGGGAGAGTGCATTTTAATTGGCTGCAGTGTGTAGGTCTGTCTCTGTCTTTTTTTACACACACACACACACACACACACACACACACACACACACACTGGAGTTATATGCCACTATAGGGCTTGCAGAAGGGAGAGTGAGAGAGCCCAATAATCTCGCCGTGTTGATGAACACTTGTAGCCCATTCATTAAACAAAGATAATCCCTGCCAACCTACCTCGGGGGCAGAAAAACGGTATTTTTTTCTGTGTGTGAGAGAGAGAGAGAGAGAGAGAGAGAGAGAGAGAGAGAGAGAGAGAGAGAGAGAGAGAGAGAGAGAGAGAGAGAGAGAGAGAGAGAGAGAGAGAGAGAGAGAGAGAGAGAGAGAGAGAGAGAGAGAGAGAGAGAGAGAGAGAGAGAGAGAGACTGTCTGCTGGCCAACAGCTTTGGCAGAGAGGGGCCCTTCAGATCTTTGAAATATTCATACGCCATGGCAGGGTTATCCCCCATTTACAAATAAGTGTTATTCTAGCGGGTGAAGAGTGATGCTTGAGAGACCTCTCTCTGCCTCTTCAGCTCAAGTGTTTGCAGCACATGTCCTCAACAGGCCTATCGTGCTGAAATTTAGCCTATATCGCTGTTTGTCTTTGTGACTTTTGCAAAGCTGGACTGCAGCCTGTAAACTGGAGTCTTTCGAGTTTATTACTTTACTGATTTTTATGTAGGCAATAAAAACATAACGGGTGTTAGATCACAAAAGTAGTTAGAAATAGCTCCAACATTTAAATAATACTTACAGTACTTTAGTATTCACTTCAGTTATATAATATAGCCTCTCACATGATGAATAGGCTACTCACTTATTCATTTTGATATTTTAACATTTTAAATACAGAACCTAATTGTCCTGGAGGATTTAGCTGACACATCTTCCATCAGTCATTCTCATGCACTCAAAATTAGTAAACGCCCCCATATGCCCAATGTGATCTCAAAACCAACACATTTTCTCGCAAGGCTTTAATTTATGTTACTGTTGTATGTCCCTCAACAATGTGTTTTATGTGTCTCCAGCCTCCACTGCTCCCCTGACTCTTCCCTTAAAGGAATGCATTTAGCTTGATCCATTTCCCCGGCTGCAGTGGAGCTGGTGTGAAGTGGCAGGTTAACAGCCTCTTGTCTATAAGCCCGGGCCTACTCGGTGTGCCCGTCAAGCGTGTAAATACTTCTGTGAAAAACCCCGTGCGTTTCTTTTCTCCGCGGCCCCTTGTCTAACTGCTACTCTAACCTCTGCCTCTGTGTGACTGAGCCGGCTGCTGCAGCGGGAGTGCGCGGGAGGGGATCCGGGCCCAGCCGGGCTGCAGGCGGGGCAGCGGCAGTGGGAGAGGCCGCTAGAATGCCGCACCGGGGTGCAGGGGCAGCGGAAACATGCTGCTACATATGTTGGGTCAAGCATGGCCTTTGTTGTGATCTTAAAAGGGTGTTAAAAACCCACTCGTCTGTAGCCTTCCTGAAAGAAATGAAAGCATCGCATAGTTTTTTTTTTGATGCATAGGCCTAATGAAGTGGTTAAAAGAATGTTGGATTTTCTAAGTGCTCACAGTCACTTTTAATTGCGCGGGGGGCATTTTTAATTGGTCCGGGAGGAATAATAGTGAGCATAATCCCTATCATAATGCATATTTTTTTCCACACACACACACACACACACACACACACACACACACACACACACACACACACACACACACACAAAAAAAGAAGAATTTTCCGTTAGGCTCAGCAAAAGTACAGTGATAAAAGTTTGCACGGCTTGTATGAAAAAGGTAATTTAAGTGGAGACCCTGCAGAATTAATTCACTGGTGATCATATTTAAACACGCAGCCGTGGACCTATTTCTTCTCTCTGGACACATATAGATCAATAAACACCTCGAGTAAGTAACTGTCACTTAAAATGCGGTGGACATTGATGAACAATCAATTGTCTTTAACTGTTCTCTTTTGTTTTGTCACCGAGCAGCCAGGCTAATGAGACTAATGTGTGCAGGCTGTTTTATTTTTAAATCATTCATCCCGAGGTGAAAGTATACGCCTATAATCTCTGCACTGAGCGCCGGGCCCTCTCTGCAGTTTGCAACTATCACTTCACCGTGCAGGACGTGCACACTTCATAAGAGTGAGATCGTCGCCCATGCAGATAATTACTTTGAATGTCAAAAAGATGTAGTTTTAATATCGTCTCTATTAGCCTGTTGGCTAGGTAATTAAGGTGCAGATGACAGCGGCGAGGGAAACAGATGGCATTTGCTTACAGTGATTCAGAAAGTAAACAATGAGCCTGAGAGAGAGAGAGAGAGAGAGAGAGAGAGAGAGAGAGAGAGAGAGAGAGAGAGAGAGAGAGAGAGAGAGAGAGAGAGAGAGAGAGAGAGAGAGAGAGAGAGAGAGAGAGAGAGAGAGAGAGAGAGATGCACACCCAGCAGCCATTTCTTTTCTTCATCAGCTTCGAGTTGTTGTTCTTCACTAAGATTGTTGTCATCATCCTCCAAGGGACTGACAATTGTTGATTTCAAAAACACTTCTATAACTTTTTAATCTGAATTCAAATAGCTGCATGAATTATCTCCTGAGTGAACAGGTGAGGAAGCAGGTGGTTTGTGTTCAGTTGCCCTTTTGTTGCTCCGCGCGTCGTGGACTCCTTAAATCTCCGGAAGCATTACAGTATTATGGACAGCGCACCTCCCAGAGCAACACGCTCGTTTCATTTCACAGTATTTAACGATAACACGGAGGAGGTGATTTGGAAATCCGATTATTTTTTTCTTTCGCGCTAATAAAGTAATAAATAAAGAATAAACCAAAACAAACAAATAGAGAACATTTCTGATTCTTTCTGCAGCCGCACACACCGCCGCTTTTCCAATATGGAAATAGAATAAGTATTTTTTTATGTCCGAATACGGCAATTAATTATAACCTGTAGACTGCAAGAGGCAACTTAATGTAATTAGACTTTCGTATTTTTATTGTTATTTATAACAACAAACGATATTATTATTAATAATAATAATAACAATAATAACATAATAACAATAATAATAATAATAGGTGCCAATTTCTACATCTACTACTAATCTCATTTAAATAATAGTGTATACAACGTATGTTTAGCTAAGAATAAATATACATTAATATTAACCTACATAATAACAGCATTAACAATAACAATTATTTCCAGTAATCTGAGTTTAAATAAAAAAATGTTTTATAAAATAATACAATAGGCCTAATAGCCTAATAACAATTAAAAATGAGAAATGTTTTTGTTTTATTTCTGTAGGCTAATTAATTTAATAATTAGATACACAAAAGCGGAGTAAACAAATTGGTTTAAATGTTCTGCTTGTGCGGCACAGCCTGTTGGACTGATCAGAGGAAAAATACCCGAATAAAGATTTAAACAAGAAAAAAAACCAAATTCTTGAAAATGTGTCAAAGCGAATATTCGTTATTATAGATCAGTTTCATTTGAGGTATCGTGACATTACATTAGAAAACGAAATAAAGACACAGGTTTAGCATGCTCATTTAATCCATACAACGAAAATGATTTGAAATAAAAGCCTTACTATATATTTTGAATAAAGCCTATAAACGAAGCGTAAGGTTAGAGTTATTTTTCCTCCTAAACAGACTGAATGAAACACTTGATCAGGTTATAATTTCAACAGGGTTAAACTCTCCGTAGTTAGGCTGTAGCCGAGTGAACCAAGTTAACCATTTAGCAACATAGCCTCATTTTCTGCAGTCAATAACCGTCTGTAAATATAGACTTTCTTTTCTGACAGATCAAATTTTGTTTCTCTCTTCTTGAATCAATAAAATAAATGATACTTACCTTCCAGGCTGAGGAGATTACAGTCACGTATCATCTTTATTTGGGGGAAATGTAATTCTAGTCTGTAACATAAACAGATCTATACTTTATACCCTGAGAATAATGTCGCCAAAGGATAAAGAATATTTCTTTAGAAATATATATTAAAGTTATTGGAAGAGATGAACATGTTCCTTCATTTTAGGGCTATTGTTTAATTTTCTGTGTGTCCTATTTGGCAGCATATCGTCCTATGACAGCCTACAGCTGAATAAATGACTAACGGGCTATTGTTTTAAATCTATAAAATATTTTTTTGGAAATACACAGCATCGATTTTTAGCTTTTCGGGAACTCCCTTCAGATTCTTAACACTTGATATTTGGAATAAGAACTCAGGTGGACACAGTTGAAAAAAGAGGCAAGCCAATCAGATTGCTCCTTCCCCCTTTGGCCAATGACAGACGCCACATTGTTGTCAAATTTGTCTAATGAAAACGTAGGAGCAACAATAGAGAGGGGAGAGAGGGATCTGTATCCACTGACAATCTCTGGAGGAAGTTAGTGTCTCAGGCTGCGGCGAGTAACAACCTCGGCTCCTCCTGGACAGTTTGAACTTTCTACCGGGGAGGAATGATCGCTCGTCAACGCTCCTGCCATTTTCGGATTTAAAGTCGACAGTATCTTCACATTTTTGTCTCTTGGCCAGACTCCTTGAACACTTTCCACCAGAGTTTCCATCATAGATTTTATTTCCGCATCAGTAGGCAGACATCGTTGACTTCACCTGTTGCCCAGAGATGTTAAGAGCCGCTGAGCAGATGTGAACGGCTCATTGCTAGTTTAACTAAGACAGATCGTCCAGAACACCGTTTTTCTTCTCTACATCTTCAGTTACATCAGTGAGCATGGATCTGAGACCGGAGCTCCCCAATGTCTCCTCTGCCTCACAAGTCCACCCGGGAGCGGCAGCGGCGGCCGCGGCAGCCTCCATCCCGGTGTCCATGGCCAGCAGCCTGCTGCGCGGCCCTCCGCTCCTCCTGCGCGCAGCGGACAAGTACCCGCGCACCCCGAAGTGCGCCCGCTGCAGGAACCACGGCGTTGTCTCCGCACTGAAGGGCCACAAGCGCTACTGCCGCTGGAAGGACTGTATGTGCGCCAAGTGCACCTTGATCGCCGAGAGGCAGCGAGTGATGGCGGCGCAAGTGGCGCTGCGGCGGCAGCAGGCGCAGGAGGAGAACGAAGCCCGAGAGCTGCAGCTGCTCTACGGCACGGCGGAGGGACTCGCCCTGGCCGCCGCCAACGGCATCATCCCGCCGCGTCCGAATTACGAGGTGTTTGGCTCGGTGAGCAGCGAGAGTAACTCAGGTGAGTGGAGCAGCTGTGTGCAAAAATCAGCTTAAGACACAAACACGAGGCAGCAGTAATATTCAAAGGGAGTGAAGTTTAAGTGCCATCTCAGTAAATATTGGCCTAAATATTATGAACCATTCATAGTAAAGTGTTATAGGCCATTTTGGTGAGCTTGGAATGAGTCTACAGACAGTAACAGACGGTCTATAGACTGCTTAGAAAATTTTTTTGGTTGGCATATTAATATTACAGTTGAGTGCATTAATCGTGTATTTTACATTGAGACTGGCTCAGTGACATCTGTTCATATTGCAGTTTGTTTAACTTGTTACTGCTGCCTCTTTAAAGGCCTGTTTGATTTAGATTTTATTTCCTGACTTCCGACCTCTGATTCATTCAATGCTTATGACGCACATTGGCGTATTATGTCTCCCTCTCAAACACTGTTATGTTCTCATTGTGTCAACAGATTCAAGCATGCAGAAGTATGAGCTGTTCCCAAAGAGCCAGCTGTCCGGATCCGCCAACCCTCAGCAGACTGTGGGGAAACCGGCGTCCACCGAAAGTGACTCGGCCCCGGGCATCTCGTCCCCAGACGGCCGGCATGGAGGCTCGGGCTCAGAGAACGGAGACAGCGAATCCTTCATCAGCTCGCCGGTCTCCAAGCCTTTAAAAGACGGAGGGGAAACTCCTGGCTCCGTCAGCTCCCTCGGCTCTGACTCCGGCTCCGAGACCGACAAAGACGAGCAGGAACCATCCCCGTCCTCTGCGGCCTCCCGGCACATGAACGCCATCGACATCCTGACCCGGGTGTTCCCCAGCCACAAGCGGAGCGTGCTGGAGCTCGTCCTGCAAGGCTGCGGAAAGGACGTGGTGCAGGCCATCGAGCAGATCCTCAACAACAGCGGGGCTCAGGGCCCCAACAAGGCCGGGCCAGATGAGACGTGGACGGCCGAGAGGATGCTCCAAAACGCACAGCAGGCTCCGCCGTCCTCCGCGACATCCACGACCGCCCCGACGAGGCCCATGCTACCCGGAGCCATGACGCTCAGTAACCGCTCTGCGTTTTCTCCTCTGCAGCCAAACGCACCGCACTTCGGCGCCGATCCTAGCACCTATTCTCTGGGCACCCACCTGGGACTGAACCCGCTGCGGCTGGCCTACTCTGCGCACAGCCGGGGACTGGCTTTCATGACGCCCTACTCCACCACCGGGCTGATGCCCACCCTGGGGTTCAGACCCCCGATGGACTATGCCTTTAGCGACCTCATAAGGGACAGGACAATGTTGCACAAGGAGCAAGGCTATGCCAGCGGCCTGTACGGGCCTTTAGTCAACAACACGCCGGAGAAACAGTGAGGCCGGTGGACTGACCACAGAGACACATTCCGTTGTATTTGTAGCCACAAGTGTTGAATATTCTGGCGAAAATCTGTGATGTGTTTTGGCTGCAGGCTACTGTATATAATAGGATTATCTGGCTTGTAGTCAAATGGTCTGAGAGGGAGAAAAAATAACTAAACTCACTTATGTGTAATTTTTAAAAATAATTTTATATGTTTGACTACAAACGTTTGGATGACATCCCCCCAGGTATCAACCTTACAAATTATTCCATCAATAAAATAACGCGAGGCTGAAAAGATATTTATAGATTCCAAAAATAAATCAAAGATGGAAAATAAAAATTAAAACCAGTTCGAAAGTCTAAACCTACATATAGCCTATGTTATTTTATTAGTGATTTTTTTATATGTCAATTGTGCGGGATTTAAAATAAAATAAAGTAAAAGTGATTTATCAGAGAGTTATGACTTTCCAAAGTCCATCAAACTTTCAGCTGGTTGATGAAACTGAAGTACATATAATATTCAAACTTTAAATAGCCTATACGTTTCTTCTCACACACGGAATATTAAATGAGGCGAAATTAAGTTATTATAACATGTAGCTTACGGATGTTAACACTATTTCCTGATGTAAAAGTTGAACTAATGATGTGTAAATGCCATCCCTTTTTTCTTATGTATTATTTCACTTATCTCACCTTTTTTTTTTTTTTTTTAGTTCGTTTCCAACTGCCTGTATTATTGCATTTGGTAATATGAAATGCTATGCTATATTTGACTTTTTCATTTATCCGGTAGTCAGCTCAAATATTTTGTGACAAAGTGCTGGATCAAGTCAGTTCCTCTTCAAATGTTACAAGCTGTGCTGTCACATTGTATGAATATGCTGGAAATAAATGTTATTTTAAAGAAAGTGGGAAAAGAATAATTATTAAGTGTTGTGACTCATATAAGATTTGCCTTATTACATCATCCACATGTAACATTTTAATTAGTAAAGGGCGCATATGTGAGTTGCAATGGCCTTGATGCATAAACTGAAAACCTTCCAAAGATTTACCAGTTTATTGCAGGTAAGGGTTTTATTTCTGCACCTTAACACTTCCTGAGCAAAACACCAGAACCAGTGAATCAAACCCACAACGGCCTGCTGCTGTCAGATAGATAGATAGATAGATAGATAGATAGATAGATAGATAGATAGATAGATAGATAGATAGATAGATAGATAGATAGATAGGATTATAAAATGTACTGATATAGGCTACATTTTGAAGTTGAAGCACCACATTGAACACATTACTTCCTTTTATAAAATAACACAAATAATAGACGTTTTAAAAAATATATTTCTAAGGTTGGACAGACAGACAGAGAGGGACAATGTGAATGGTTTGTTCATCCATTTTGTTTTTCATTAAATCCAATTACAATAAAATAACTCTTAATTATTAGATTAGAGCCTACGTATGAAGAAGCTGACGGTACAATGACAATCCTGTTTCGAGCTCTTTAGGTCAGTTTTTCGTTTACAACTAATTCTTTAGGGTATTTATTTTCACATCCAGCACCTTAGATTTAGCCGGTGCGGTGGCTCTCATCCTGCATATTCACATAACCAAATCTAAAATGATAAAACATGCATAACATCATAAGTAAATATTCAGTCCATGCGGGATTAGGGTGGAGAAGAAACATTAAACAAATGCTTTATGAATCCTCCTCCCAATACCAGCTCAAAATACCATTATTCTGTAATACTGATCATTTTGCCGCTGGTTATACTGGTATACAGGTAATCCACTGGGTTGAGCTTCTGCCAACACTTTCTCCATCCACTCAGAGATTTCACTGCCTCCAAAGAAAGGTGACCACTTCCAAAGAGCAGTGGCGCCATCTGCAGGTCATCTAATGTCAGCACCACGCAGTTTTTCTAACTACCATTGCAGTCCAGCTGCAATTAAATGTTTAACGCTGATTGGTTGCGCGGAAGAAGAAGTTACGCCTCGACAGTATCAGTGTGTCAATATCAGTGATCAGCTGTAAGACAGTAACATAAAGCAAAGACCTGCAGCAGGAGAGGGGAAGTAGAGGACTGGGTTTGGAAACCTCAGTACACTGAACTGAGGTTTCCGAACTGCTTATTACAAGTTTGCTTAATATTCATTTTTACAATAATAACTGTGATCCTGTCAATTTAGATTTAGTACACATACAGTACATCTATGTAAACACACGTTCATGCAGGAAACATTCTCTCAGCTCACGTTTTCTTACCAGTTCCAACAAATATTGCAACATTACTTTGTGAGATGAGTTAAAACAGATCTATCTTAAATATCGGATCCCTTAAACTAACATGTGTCCTTCATGTCTTCATAAGTGATGCAGAATCTGAAGACAACCAACAGAACAGTCATCTTTTCATGCAGCCTTGGGAAACCAGATGTTCCAGGCAGTGCATGCACAAACTCAACTTGACAGACAGACAGACAGACAGACAGACAGACAGGGAAAAGAAAAAGAGGGGAGTAGGAAAATGTGTGTTTTGTGAGAATTCCCACAACTTGCCACAGTTTGTATTCTCAATCTAAATTTAAACCTACACAGCCTCTAGTTGCATTGAATATATGGCTTGATATTGTTGTCTTGTGTCGTTGATAATTACTTTTTAGGAACGGAGGAGACCAGGTTACCTCATTTGTTTCCGTTTCATTCTTTGAATAACATCCTTCACCTTCGTAAGTACAGAAATGTCTTTTTCTAGACCCTCATAATGGAGTCCAACAGCTGGAGGAGCACAAAGGTTATAAAACACCTTAATACCAACAGCCTAAAGTCAAACAAATACTTAAGGACAGACACAAAATAAAGAAAAATGCTCTTTTAATTCAACCTGGCATTGGTTGATTGGTTGAAAAAGTAGGAGTTTTTGTGCTGCCCTTTACCTTTGAGTTGAATATGTGGACTGATAGGGAGTGGTCATTTGCTGGGTCATTACAGTTAATGTTGCTTATGTTGAAAATATTGACTCCCCTCATTTTCAGGCAGTTGTGTGTACACAGACAGCACCACTAGATGACAGTCTTGTCAAACAAATACCATCTGCAGTACTGCTAAAATATGGTACATGACACCTGTAAGACCTAATATATATGTCTTACAGTTGAATCCTGTTGCTGCATGTATAAATTCTTCATTCCTTTACATTTAGAGTATTATATTTAATTTTAAATTCCCAATGTAAACTATAATCTGTACAGTTTATATATTTTGTGTTTAATTTTTTCCTCCATTAATTTATTTTGACAAAAGCTAGATAAACAGGTCATTATTGTATTGTATTGTTTGTATGCATGTAAACATACATTATGCACTTCAGGTGCTGGATTGGGTTTTGATTTGCATGCTCAACACGTTCACAGTGTCCTCTGCTGGCCACTTGTGTGCAGTGCACTGTGTAAGAGCATTGTAGCCCCTCTGCCAAACCTGGACAGGGTTAGCTTTGTTGCAGCCTAATAAAGAAGATTCAACAGGGTTGGTCTTCTCTGCCCAGTTACCGGTGACTTAATGTTTGGTCAGCAGACAGCAGCACCTGAAGGCAAACACCCTGGTTTGCATTATATGTGTTTTAGCTTTCAAATCTGGAGATCCTGGCTGAATTTAGTGATTTCCTCACAGTGCATGACACCTACAAATTATTGTATTACGACAGATTGACCCCTATCCAGCTGAAGTAGTGAGAGAAAGAAGAGAAGGGGGAAGCAGGGGCATCAGTTTGGAGAGTAATGCTGGTCTGCTGCAGTGAATGCTCAACTATGTTTTCCATGCTTATTTCTCTGAGTTCACTAATGAATAATTAGACACTGGCAGATAAATGGCCACAGGCTCCCAGAGCGGTGCAGAGAGAAAGAGAGAGAGAGAAATCCATTTAGGTTATTACTCCATACATAAAACCCATTTTCATTTTCAGAGCCGCTGTTTGGTTTACTGTCAGAATAACAAATAGATAACGGCAAAACAAACCAACATTGAGACAAAAACAATTGTGCACATTGTGCACTGAATTTAGAGTCTTGACTCTTACAGCCCAGTGCACTCACAGTAAAATATATAAATAAATAAACAAAATAAATAAATACTGTCTTGTTGGGCTACAGTATGCATTCAGACATTTTACAGCTGGCTCACCAACAATGGTGTTGTCTCAATAATAAAGTTACCAGATTTAAAATAACTGCAGACTGTCAGTATAAACAGAAGTCGAACTCATCAACACTAAAACGCCACAGTATCATACCATAACATAGCTGCTATTGTGATTAAATTCATGGTCAAAACTAAACTTGTTCTTATTAAAATAAAACAAAACAAAGTAACACATAAACCTGAGGCCTCTAGGGCGGGTCTAGAGTGGTGGGACCAGCAACCCCTAAGAAATGCTTGGCAACCATGACTGCAACCTCTGTTTGGTGTCCCATTGATTTAGATTACAGAAAACAGAAAACAATTTATTGATTTTTAATACCACACAGTAATATAAAGTTTTGTAGTTCAAATATCTTCATTTTTAGGGGCTTTTCCAAGCAAATATTGATGTGCTTGTTTGTGATTAAATCAGCATATATCTCTGCCACCTCTTACAGTCTCCATGCCACCCACCACATGAGTATTTCTCCAGATCTGGGGGCATGAGCAGTTTCCTGGGCAGTGTGACTGAGGGAAGAAAGGGAAATAAAAGCACAGCAAAGAACGTGAATGTGCGTTTGTGTATGTGAGCAGTCAGGTGAGGAGTATCGAACGAGGGCTCCTCGCTGTATGCGTTAATAACAAAACACCCTTGGATGGTATTGATTCGGGAATCTCATTCCCATCTGTCCTTCGAAGGGTCCCTTCATCATTCCGCCCCAGAAGCACCCTTCACCCTTCTTCTTCTTTCTTTCAAACCTTCCTTGCATCATATGTGACATCCCTTTCACATCAAAGCTACTACTTGGGAAAAACCTCTCTTTTCTTATGTTGTGAATGGACACAGGATTTCTGTCCTGGATACACAACAAGGCTCTTGAGCTGAGTTGTATGCAGGTTTAAAGGCCCATTGTTTCCACTCTGTCAAATTGTCTTCATGCAGGGCTCGGTCCTCTTCTACGTCCCCCATGTCGAACCACTATGTTTCTACAGTAACCCAGAACTGATAAACCACTGGCTGATAGGGCTTTTTGCATTTTTCGTGAGTTTCGTGGCCAATGTAGTTTCTCCTACACACTTCACATACAATACAGATGCAAGTGATGTTCAGTTAGTTGCAATTTACAACTTCACCACTAGATGCAACAAAATCCTACACACTGGTCCTTTAATACGTTTTAGTAGTGCAGTTTGGTAAAAAGGAAAAACACAGATGAAAAGCACATATGCCTTATCACAAGTCTATCATTTGATTATACTGTATGTCATTCTGAAAAAAGCTATTTTTATGTTTCATCCTCAGATTCTGCAACTGTCCTCCACATTGTGTGATGTTTCATATAAGCAGCAGAGGAAGGAAACCTGTCCACAATTTTGAAGCTGACAGGTATGCTGTTAGCAACTGTAAAATAATTACATTTAGGCAAATATACTCAGCCCAGCAGTGGCCCTAATATTGCACACCTAGAGTGATGAATTACACCCCAGAATTTGCAAAACCAAGGATCAACACAGACCCAAATCTACCCTCAGTGCTGCTAACTGTTAGCCCAAATTTTGCAAAGCCAGATTAGGTGGACATATATGAGCTATAACTGTCGTGGATAAACCTTCGTGGGGGCCCTGGTGCAAATGTGTTGGGCATCTTGTTGCCTCCAAGTTCCCACCATGAACAGTGCACACAGCACACTAATAAATGGCAGCTTCATTTTGCCCAGAGACACT